GGATGCAGGAATTTCCTGAGGGGGGGGGGGGGGGTCAGGTGTTGGTCAGCATACCATTCGTTTAGGAACCCCCTCCCCCTCTCCCTCGTTTCACACCCTAAATTTTACACATGCAGAAATCAAGAGGGGGGTCAGGACCATCCGGACCCCCCCTCTAAATCCGCCCCTGTGTGTGCCCCACTTTTGAGTGTACTGTAAAGTACTGACAATTGTTTGGATCTAGTCCAGATAATTTTAGCTGGTTATTGGGGAAGGGAGGACAGTGGCAGATTCAAGAGGGGGGTCCGGATGTCCTGACCCCCTCTTGAATTCTGTATGTGTAAAAATTTAGGGGGGACTTTATTTCTGATGTATTTTGCGTGTGTAGGACAAGGACCTATACATTGCACAATATAAAGCTCTTTCGTCGCACGAGCGGCATAGCTACTGCATTTTCCAATTGGAATTGCACCATGTGAATCGGGCACAATGCCTCCATGTAGGAAGCACGTAAAAGCAGTGCTGATTGGCCGTTCACTCACCTACGCTAAGTTGGAGTATCCATGATTCTTCGTCAATTTCTCACTAGAAAATGAGGAATCATTGTAGGCTAGCCGCAATGACCCTAAAAAAAAAAAAAAAACTGATTTTACCCTAGATGGAAATAAGGTTCTCCACATTATGGTGACATATTTCCCCAATGCTTCCTATAGTCAGTGGGCTCCTGAACCGTGAAAAAAGGGTTTGACGAACATTCTTGACAAAAATCCCTGGAGAAGGAAGGGATTGTCCAATTTAATGCAGGTTTGGAAGAATGTCTGTCTGCAAATGTTTCAATTAAACATAAACAAATTGCAAATATGGCATTTTTGCTCAATGGGAGTCTTTGAAGCAGGAGGTTCAAAACGAAGCACTTGAATGCACATGCATTGCATCGCAATGTCCAAAGCGTCGCTCGTAAAAATACCAATGTTTCTTAAGAGGCTACACATATATATATATAGTTTTGAGTCTGAATAAAATCTTTAATATTCCGTTCATTTACGATTTTGCAATTTTATATTTCATACTCTGGAGATATTTGCCTGCAATCAAATATATCAAAAAAGAAAGAAGCAAAAAGGAAGACACGTTCCAGTGTGCTGGAGGAAGGTCAATTTTGATAAAAGAAAGTCTCTTGAGTACTGTATCAGAGTTCATCCACTCGGGTTTCTTGAGCAAAGGTCCAGCAGATCAAATTAAGGCCACAGGAGGCTAAAAAAACACAAACTAAACATAATAAAAAGAAATTTAGGATGTTTAGAAAAGTTATTACTCTTACCAAGATAAAGAATGCACGAAGTCGTTTCCAGCAAAGGTCGGTTGAAGTCCTTTTCGCATTGTACTAATGGAGGCAAACTGGTATTGCTGATGTAGTCGTGACTTGGAGAAAAACGTACTGGGCATGTATGGCAGTCATGCGGTAGGGCACCCGTCATAACCGTTCCATGAATGCTAAAGAGGGCCATATTAACTTAAACCGCCAAGATGGATGTGGCAAACATATTGAACGCAACACCACTTTGTTGGCACTAATATTGTTGTGGTCCAGAATCGGATTTTCAGTTTTCTGTCCTGCTGACACTAGTGGTGTAGTCAGGGTTGGGGATGGGGGCTTACGAAGCTTTAGCTCCCTCGTCACTGGATGATAAGCTGTTTTTCACGCTACACAGCCATCCCATAAAATTGAAGGCTGTGACAAATGGTATGCTACTAACACAGTTCATTGATTGACCACATGCCTGGAGAGAATCCCGATACCCCTCCCAAAAAATAAGTTTGAACGCTGAGTGAGCAAGAAAACAAAGCTTATGACATGGGAATGGGATGATCTCTCTCTTCATGCGGCCCAGTGACCCTAAGTCGCCGTTGGTTATTCAGGTATCTCTAGCTGTTTGCAATTCTTAATTGCACTGCTGAGCACAGAATCCACCCAGGCTTTTCTTTCCTGGGTGGATTTACACTTGTGTACACGTGTGTATAAGACACACATGTACAGAAGTGTGTCTTATACACTGGAAAATACGGTACTTATCTATCAGGCACCACACAATCTTCAAAGCTGAAACGGTTCACATACTGCTATTCATATTAGCTCGTAAAAACACAAACCTTTTTTTCTGACAGAGCTACCAACGACACACTGTCAAGCTGTCGATACATTGTTTTCTCTTAGAGCGCAGCTCTTAGGCACCCGTTTCCAGCTTGAGCAGCATCGCCGTCGTCGTAACCGCGCGTTGCATTATGGGACATTTCCCATAATGACGTCACACACGTGACATCACGTGTGATGCCACGAGGGTCACGAGTGATGTCAAGGTCACTCGTGAAGGTCATGACGAAGATAACTACCTTCACAGTGACCTTCACGAGGGTCACAAGTGACGTCACGAGGGAGAAGGGGAAAAAAGGAGAGGATACTCTCTTCCTCCTCAAGAGCTGCTCTCTAATTCGGCATTACTGGGAATTGTAAACGTCTTTCATTTTTTTATGGGTGTTCCATGTTCTGACTTTATATTTGCGCCGTCATCACTACACAGAATGGGTGATTACTAATTTCTGAGGAATTAGTAAATATGCCCAATAAACTTCAAGGATATTACAAAAAAGAGGATAATTATTTTTAATGAAGTGACAGACCTAAATTATTTTAAATTGCATTTGTGCAAAAAAAAAAAGTTTTTTTTTTCAGCTTGGCAGATATGGGGAATATCCGCCAAGCTAAAAAAAAATTTTTTGAAAATGGTGTGCTCTTTTTTTTGCATTTGCTCAAGGCTTGGCGACTTCTCTCTGCATTTCCCGGTTTGGCAGTGAGCTTTTCTCCGGTGAGCTTTTCTCTGGCGAGCTTTTCTCCGCCACCCTAGCTTCTCTAAGCCTTTTCCTCTCTCACACTGGCCCCAACCTCGTTGACAGCCCCGGAAAATAAGCCATAAAAATTAGTTTCTGATGGTGCTGTTGGTGTTGTGGTGGCATTTTAATGGACTCATCTGTTGCATGCCCAAGAGTTTCAGTCCTATGTATGCTCCGTGCCAGTAGTTGCGTGCAGTACAAGCAAAGGCAACACCAGGCAAGGGGAGAAAGGACAAGCACTAGGAAGGCTGGGGAGGAGGAGAGAAACCTCCTTTCCTTTCTAACGTTCCTAGTGCTCCTCCTTTCTCTTCTCGCCCTCCGTTGACCTCATCTTTCGCCCCGCCTTTCTAGTGCTCGCTCTTTCTCTCTCTGCCTGGCGTTGCCTTTGCCTGTACTGCACACAACCAGCGACACGGAATATAGTTGGCAGTGCCTGGGACTGGCTCAGCAGCTGATCCTTTCGGACATGACACGCCCGGTGGCGATGTTCTGAGCGTTTTGAGCTCGCATTTCGGCATGCGTCTCACTTAAAATTTTGAATCTGCAACAAATGCGATCTGGATATCCATCTGTCATCCCTGCACGTAACAAATGTAAATGCGTACACTACGTAACACTGAGAAATTGGGCACGCTTTTTGTGCCTTTATATCGCGCAACCGCACCTTCACCTGGTTGCAGTCTCACTCTCGCCCTGCTTTAAGCAGGTTTCATGAGCTCATTATTTAGTTGAGATTTTCTGTTTGGTTAACCCTTTCCCAACCATGGACGAGCCGAGTTTGTCCACACTGTTTGTACCGCTCCCCCCGAAGACGAGCTGGGCTTGTCCACATCGATTCGGGCTCCAATACGCTACCATGGACGAACTGGGCTAGTCCATGTGTTTCTAGTGAGCTTTGCCGTGGATAGATGGCACTTCACGGAAAATAAAAACCTGGTAAATTTTTTGAATTTGGCAGAAAATTGTTCCAACGGAGGCAACAGGGAATTTAAAAATGGCGACGTCAACTTCTGGTCGCTGCGTTTATAGTGACAATCTTGCCTCAAAATTGGGGCGAAACAAAGATGTTGTGACGTCTCTTCATATCCAGAAGACGAGGAAATGAATCTTTCATCGAACAGCGAGAGCAATGCAACTGAGTTATTGGATTTGAGCTCAGACGACTCAGATTTCGATGAGGAAATCGTGTCGGCATGGACTAGAATCAGCGTAGAAAATCCCCCTCCAGCCTCTCCACGTTTTGCATTCACTTTGTGTGCAATGTGAACTGTCTGCAGTACTGCTACACCCGGCCTGAACGTCCATGTGGAAGGTGATGTGAACTGTCTGCAGTAATGTAGTGAAGCGGAACTTTAGTCTTCTTCTTTTGCAGTGTGTTCAAAGATTTCTCATATAATAAATATTTTGGCATTTGTTTTGGCCTTTGTATTGCATATTAAATTTATAGGGCACATAAAAACATTTGGTATTTTCAAATAGTTTTTTTCAAAATTTTTGCGGTAGGCAAAGGGTTAACCACGTAACAATTGGGATGTTAAATAAAAGGTTGTGAATGCAAACATTGCCACGAGAAAGGGGCAAGTTGCTCTTTGCAAATTTTACAAAAAAATATGCACCATCTGTGGGCAACGCTTCACAAAGTCATAGCGCGATAGGTTAAGAAACCGAATTTTGCGGTAGATTTAAAGAGCCTGGCCGCTCTTGAATCACCCGGTATATATATATATATATATATATGTTTTTTTTGTTGTTTTTTTTTCAAAATGTTAATGCAAGTTTTTATAATACCACAAAATCCTGAGCAGATGCCCATTCAAAATTTGGAGATAATCATGTAAAACTGGGGAATGGGTGCTTCTTAGGTCAACAATATGTAATGTCCTTTGTGTAATTTCCAAAAGTTACAAAATTGAGGTGTGGTGCTTATTATGGAATGGCAGGGTATTTTACCGTATACATAAAATATAGCAGAGTAAGCACTTTGGCAGTAGTTGGTGCAAACAGCACATCAATCACTTAACCGCATATATACCTGCTGTTGGCTGGCAATGTTCGAGCCCCAGGTTGCATACAAAGTGTGCTTGGTATTGCTCTTTGGTTACAGTGCTCATCTAGAGCAATAAGACCATTGATTGCATGGGATAGTATTTTATTTGTGATCCACTAAATCCATAAAATAAGACAAAACCTGGAATGAAGTACCTAGTGCAAGGTAGCATATTTTTTACAATATCAGCAACACTATTCAGCCTGCACCAGTGCCAAAAAAACTTCAAAACATTATTAAAATGATGAGACAAAAAGAATTACATGCACCTCAAAATGAAAAAAGGTCCTCAAGATAGAAGCTGTTCAGCTGTATTGAATTAAGGCCATTAACAAGCAAGGAACAGAAATGCCCCAATGGCCATACTGCCGCTGTTCCTGGACAACAATCACACTGGCTGTTCACAGCTGATAAAGATGGTTGTATTACAGTAATACCTCGCAAACTCGAAGTCATAAAAATCGTGAAAAAATTTGAGATAAGCGAACTTTCTAGATTAGCAAAGTACAGGAATTTGTTACCCCTGATCTAGATAAAACTTATAACAATTGCGGCAACATTAACTTCTTTGATGAGAGGAACTTTCCTTTCAAGCGTCAATGATTTGCACCGTTTGGGCTGCGCCATAATCACGGTCAATTGAGTCACGCGCCAACAACGTCGGAAAGTTCTCAACCGATGACCGAATTGAACACTTGACCTTTACTCGTATGGTGCCGCGAGATGATCAAAACACCCGAAACAAAAATGGCGGACAAGCAACAAAGTGCAGCAACACTTGAAACGAATGAGACACTATCCGAAACACTAGATCAGGGGTGGCCAAGCTGCGGCTCGCAGCTTCCTCTTCTTCCCCTCCCCCCACAACGCCACCCTCCCGGTCACACAATCACTTCCCTCTAAAAGAGACATGGAACGCGTTTTAAATCGAAAGACAGGTTGCGGTTTGGTAGTCTTGTGCTACTGCTACATTAGGTACAGTTAGACTGCTTTCGACTGGGATAGATTTAAAGTACTTCCAGTTTCATTTATTACTCTGGACAAGTTTGCCGCCTTGCGCCCCCCCCCCCCCCCCCCCCTTCCTCCCCTACCACGGCTCTTGGAAGTTTCGTAGCTTTGTTTGCGGCTCTTAAGCCGGGTCAGCCTGGCCACCCCTGCAATAGATTGACAAGATGAGGACCGGACCGGGAAGGGAAGGGAAACGCAAGGAACCCAGAAGCAAAAAAGAGAAAACGAAGGACAAAGCCGAACAAAACACTCGAGGGAGAGGGGGCACCAAACGCCAAGCACCTCAGCTTGCCATTGGCTTGTCCAAGTGGGGGTCATAAAAAACAAAACAATTTTTTTTTTTGTGGTTGCACACTTTTTTTTAATTTGCGTCTGCATCTTTTTTTAGTTTTTGCGGTAGTTTTTTTTTTTTTTTTTATGATTTTCGCTGTGTAGATTTTGAGATATCCGAAGCCCGTCCTCAAAACCTTTCGAGATAAGCAAGGACAAAATGCATTGTTCTTATGGGAGCTCATTCCATGACAAGGAAATTTTAAGACTTAACCACTATTTCGAGTTAGCCGTGTTCGAGTTAACGAGGTATTACTGTACTGAACTTCCTCTTGTAAAAAAAAAAAAATGCTGGACAGACAGCAAAGTGCACAGTCAAATATTAAATACGTCCTCATAAACCACATCCAGAAATAGCACAATGACAATTTTTCAATTGTGTGTCGTCTTCCAATGCCTATTGAAAGAGCTGCTCTGCCTGAACGTTCTCCCACAGGCTTTGCATCTGTAAGGCTGCTCGCCACTGTGAATTCTCTCGTGTGCCGACAGCGTGGATTTATCTGCAAATGGCTTCCCACATGTTCTGCACTGATAAGGTTTCTCCCCCGTATGGACTCTTTTGTGAACCACCAAGTTAGTTCTAAGTAAAAACGCCTTCTGACACACCTCGCAACGGAATGGCTTTTCACCCGTGTGAGTCCTCATGTGCTGTTTTAAGCAACCGCTTCTAGAAAACGCTTTGTCACAAACAGAGCAGCTAAAAGGCTTTTCCCCTGTGTGCGCCCTTTCGTGCTTGGTGACACGATATATGTAATGACTGGAAAAAGGGCAAAAACGGCACTGGTGTACGCCCTCATGTTTGGACTGTGTCGTGGGTTGCAACGCGTCCAGTGTGCCTCTCAGGGAAAGGGAGTCACTCTGGCCGTCTCCACTGTTGAAGCAGTCTGCCCCAGCCGGCCCTGTTGGGGAGAACAGACGAACAGGATGAGGACAGTTTCTTTTTTTGCAGACGTTCTACAAGATATTCTAGGCTTTGATGCTAACATGCAAACTTTAGACACCAAGTTTGCTCGTCCGCACTGCCTTTAGCCCAAGGAACAAGATGCCAAACACACTATCAGACAAAGACATTCAAATTAAAAAAAAAAAGCACCTGCAACATCACTTCTACAACTACCACACGCAATTGTGGGTGACAGTTGTAGAAGTATGGAACGACATCGTGGTTGGGTTCTTTGTCTGCTTCACTGTATTTGTGTCGCCTTACGATGACTTAAGTTCGGCGAATGTGTGCAGCGGTCGACTGGTATGCAGCCGTTCCTTAAGTGGCAATAATGTTTAGGAGTCATAAAGATACCCCCATTTCTGAACTTTATGCAAACAAACACTATGCGGGTAGAGAGGCATACAATAACATCAACATTTTCTCAAACCACCTTCCAATATTGAGCAGCAAAGATCCCTCACTCGTGTACATTTTTTCTTCTTTATTTCATTCTTCGCCTAAACATTTGCCAGCAGGCCTCGCACCTGTACGATCATAATCACTGTCGCGAGGTCCTCTTATAAAAAAAACAGGTAGAATCTTTGTGCAAATGCATTCCCCCAAGTGTTGTACTGGTAGGGGTCTCCTCAGATTGAACTCTTAACTCTTTTGTGCATTCTGGCAAACATGCACCAAAAATGCATTTCCTTTGTGTGCATCCTTTTTTGCATTACGACTGCATTTGTAAGAACTGGAATGAGGGCAGAAGCGACACTGCTATGCTTCCTCTCGTGATCGACTCCTGGGTTGCACCCAGTACAACTTGCCTTGTAGGGAAGAGGGCTCACGGATGCTGTCCTGGAGGTGAAGGCTGTCTCGATCGTTCCAGCAGTATGCATGCTCAGTCTTCACTGTTAGAGAAACATGTCAAACATGAAAAATGTTCTTAACTTGCCCATGCTGAAATGATTTCTCTAGGCTGCAACAACAGCAAGCACATGTTACCAGTCTGGCTAATGTATGCCAGCTTTCAACACTAAGCTGCGCACATGTGTCTCTGCACCGTTGCGTTTCAAGGTCAGATTCACTCAAAGCCACCAAACAAGGAAAGTCAAAGTACACAAGCACTTACAACACAAAAGTGATCATGCTTTGAGGCGATGCAAAAATAGATGTCCAAAGCCTCATTCCAGCAGAGCTTCTCTAAGCTCTAATCTCTCTCCGACCTGTTCAGTGCAGCTTACATCATTTTGGCCACAAGCAACAATGGGTGACCCCCTGCCTTGTTTCCTTACGGACTATAAAATCTCAAATTGCAGCAATTGGTGCAGGGCACAGCTCTGGCTACTGGTGAATCTGTTCACTGTAGGGATGTTTGTAAAAATACCATAGCACCACAGAGAAGTCAGCACAAGAAGATACTACTCGAAAAACAAGCACTGCTTAAAATACAACACAATCCTAGCAGAGATGTCTTGTACACTTTATAGCTTCAAACATTAGAGCAGGGGTCTCAAACATGCGGCCCACACCTTGCTGGGACGCGACCCGCAGGCAGCCGGCTGCAAACGACCGTTAAAGAAAGGCCCGTTCAGACACTTGTAATTTCTTAAGACCGAGTGCCTTGGAACCTTTGAAAATCTCTTACGACGAGAGGACTCACTGGCACCATCTATTGGGTAGCAGTGAAAACTTGGCGATCCCGCATATTTCCTATTTCTCTTGTGCATCATCCTCTCGGCCTAAAAAACTTTTGTCAATATTGTAAACGAGACTTTCTCATAGGTATTAAGCACAATTGACCTCGGAAATCCAACAAAACCTTCGCTCTTGTGAAATGCAGTTCCAGGATCACTGCATAGATGGCGCCAGCGTGCAAGTGTTCTCTCATTCTAAGAAATCTCAAGAAATTGCGTGAAGAGGTTTTTCTTTTTTACACGTGTTGAGCTTAATACAAATTTTAAACGAATTGAGCAACGAGAACAGCACGGTGATTGCTCCCTTGTTCTATTAAAAATGCCAGCACGTTGTTGGGGCGGTGCCATTTTATCATTTTTATCACATCAGGTAAACCCAAAGTATTCCTATAATCAAACCAGAGCTAGAGATGTCACTGGCACAACTGTGAACACAAAAAGTAGAAACTCCAAGGTCCCTTCTCTATTAAATCTCTTGACCCCTTTTCCCCCACCCCACCCATACACGTTATGCTGGCCTCCTGCACTATACTTTGTTTCACCGTAACTTGGTAAACAGCAACCGCTACGACCCATCTTGCCAATCAAAGTGATGAAGGCAAAGCATGTGAAAGCCCTTACCAAAGGTGCAGGGGCAAGAGCGTAACCAAAAGAGTTGGAGAAAAGGGGAAGGACCAACTTCCCTGTTATCATCTTTTGAGCGTCCCAGACTTGCCGAGACGCTGCTTTTGTCCCCCCCAAAGATTCGCTTGTTTGCAAAAGAGGCTCTTCTCTCTTTTCTGCCCGTGGCTTCGACAGCACTGCGCGCAACGAGTGAGATTTAGTCCCATATCTCCCTCTGATGAGCTGATTGTTCACTGGGACCGTAACTTTTGCCGTTTGCCAGGCTACGGTGAGACGGAGACAAGAGCAGCAGCACAACCACAGCACACTGTCTGAAGTGGACTTGGCTGGTGGGGAGGAGTCTCTCCAAAGCATCAACGTGCGTTCTCCGCCTTTTCTTTGGTGATTGCTTTCCAGATATTCAACCTGCAGAATCAAAACCATCAATGGCCACAAGTCGTTCGAATAAAGCGAGCATATGAGTGCATGTAATGTTACAATAGGGCATTGAAGTGAGCAACAAGGGTCAATCTTAGAAAAACTGAAATAATGTACTCAAAAATGAAGCAACAGGAGGAAAAAATCTTTACAATCATAATGACTTGCATCCCCACAGAACCAAATGGAAGCCAACACAAGACCATACTACTAGATCAACAAGCACTGCTTTGAATACTACAGACAGACCTATAGTCGGCGACAGGTCAAGAACAAAGTGGCTCCTCCTACCTCTTCCCACTTTAGTAGAGCGAATGCTAGGGAGGAGACAACCTTCTTTCCAGCGTTCACTCCGCTGAAGTGGAAAGGGGTGGAAACAGCTTCCTTTCATTCTTGACCTGTCGGTGACTATAACAGAGAAGTCTTTTATATTTTAGAGCTTCAAATACTAAGCACAAAAACTGCAGCAACACAACCACATCGAACTGTCATAAGTGGACTTGGCTGGTGGAAAGGAGTCTCTTCGAAGCAACAACGCGCAATTCGCCAACCTTTTCGTTTGGGGACAATTTCCCAGAAAGTTGACCAGCAAGACAAAGAAGCTTCTGTAGTCACAAGAGTCATTTGAGTGAAGTGAGCACATGACTGCATGTAATGCTATTGAAGTGAGCAACAAAAAGCAATTTTAGAAAAAAAAAAGAAATTGCGGTAAGAATTTTTTTAGAAGAGCGTTTAGAATCATAATGATTCGGGTTGCCACAAGACTCAATACGATCGCGATGTTATAAAAATGCAACTCGGCTTTCATTAAAAAAAAAAAAAATCTGGAATATCCAATTGAGCGAAATCGCTCCATTAGTGTGAGACAGTGGTTCTCAACCAATGATGTTTTGGGGACTCCTTCTTAATTGGCAGAAGTGATGGGGGACCCCACTTACTCGAGGCAAGGGGGGGAGGGGGGGGGGGGGTTTGAACGATTGCAATTACAACAGGGTAAATGGAGGAAACTATACATGCGTGCAAACCAACTCTGCAGCCCTGAAATAGAGAATATAATGAACCCTACGCATTCGGTGCACTTGGTTTCGTCTATTTAGCTTTGCAAAGCAGCCTGCATTAATTGAAAACATTTTTCTTAGTGATCGGCTTGACTGATGTTTCAAGGCTTCAGGGACACCAAGAAGACCTTCGGGAACCTCAAAAGGTCTATATTTGAGAACTACTCGAGATGCTCGAAACATTCTCGATTTTGTTCCTGGTATGTTTGCAAGTAGACAATTATGTTTACTCCCTCTTTCTTTTCCGCTTTCAAGTGTAATGAAGATGCAGAATCAAAAACACCCAGAACAAATCTAATTAATCTCTCTATACTACGCAGACTTAGTCAAACTGCATCGCGATGCTCTGCACAAAAATAAAACTATTTTTTTGTGCCGGTATGGGGCGATCAATTGCCGTGGCTGAGGACAAGTTTCGACTGATCCCAACATGACAGCGACTTCTCTTGCATGGGATGATTGGCATTCCAACTTTGTTACCTCACAGGCAAGAACCCTTACCAAGAGCTGATCCATGGCTAAGAGGGTTGCGATGAGCGAGCACCCTACTTTAAATGCACTATATGTAGGAAAGGATTCTGCCTTAAAATTGTGATACAGTGCTGTCAGCAATTGCACGGTATTTTGGCAGTAATGTAGCACCTTAACTGCTGGAGCCTAAAGCGGGTGTTTGAGGTGGATACACTTATCAAATATCTCAATGCTTTGGAGAAAATGCAAATTATTGGCCTGTCAAGATCATAGGACGATCAGTTCATGCTTTGAAATCAATACACTTAAAGGCCACGCATTAAACCTCACAAGAATTGCGGGTTTGTTTAAAGATCAGAGTTTGCTCTGAAGCAAGCTCAAACTCTGAATAAATTGCTTTTATTCAGCACAAAAGAGGTTAAAAGTGCACAAACTATATGCAATAGAAAAAGGAAAAACAGAAATGTAAGAAAAGGCAGGAGATGCTTGAAAGAACTACCCTTGACCTACCAATAAAAATAGGGTTAATGTTTGACTGGACAAGGATTTTATTTTCTTGGGGTTCAAAAATGCTAAAGTGTTTTCTTCTTTTCTACGTCCTGTCTCTAAGTGATATTTTACATTTGGTTTAGAAATCAAACAAAATAGGGGAGGATGAAAAAATGTAAAGCATCCACTGATAGAAATGCATAATTGTTTTATGCATGGATTTCTATTCAAGTAATGGAAGCAAAAAAAAAAATGGTAAGTTGTTAATGATTCAAAAGAAGTCACCAAGGTGAAGAACATTCACACAAAAATAGACTGAATTCCGTGCAAAAACAGAGATTGAGTTGTGAGTCAGCACTGTGTGAGTGTTTTGTCTGCTGTGATTGTCTCCCTAGGTGTTATTGTTTTTGTGGCCTGTGGTGATGTGCATTTGTGAGGATTCCCTACTTGCACTGTTATTTTTGTAACATTTCTGGAAGAGCAGAGCATTTTTGCTTCTTCCAGCATCAGAGGTGATGACTGAATACGCCAGTAACCTTGTTGCATTCCCTAAAACTACATTCTCTTCGGACACTGAAATCAAATGAGCTTGCAATATTATTAGCGGTTGCACCGATTCAAATAGGAATTGAACAATAACCTAACTGTTTTTGAATAGTGGGTAGGCAGTTTAAAAAGGGGGCACTGCCTGAAACAGGTGTCTCAAAAGACATGCGGCCACAACTTGTTGGGACGCGGCCTGAGAGCAACCGACTGAACGCCCCCTTACCCATGTCTCGAGCACTAAAAATGGCATGCACCATAAAAATCTCATGTAAGCAACTCATATCTGCTCGAAACATAGTTCTGTTCTTATAATGTGCTCATATAGTTAACACTACTCAGTTTTCATTTGCCTTGCATTTCACTTTAATTTTCTCTTCCCAGCTTTTTGTCACAATAATTATCTGCACACCGATTCTGCTACTGGGCTGCAAGTGCGAGACCTTTGCTTAAGGGCGGACGTCGGCAGCACTAACTCTTGCTCAGGAGGAGAAACTGCAAAAGATAAAGCTATGAGCTTGGGATTGTTGCCTTCAGAAAATGAAGGTTTTTTTTGTTTGTTTTTTCCGAGACATGTTGAGCTCGACAGTGTTTTGTGCTCTTGCTCTGTTG